ATAAAGCCAGACCGAAGGATGATTTCCCACTACCTCACATTGACATCCTGATAGACAATACTGCAAGATATGAAGTGTTCTCCTTCATGGATGGTTTTTCAGGTTATAACCAGATTAGAATGGCTTCCGAAGACAGAGAAAAGACATCATTCATAACACCCTGGGGCACCTTTTGTTATAAGGTTATGCCATTTGGATTAAAGAATGCAGGGGCAACATATCAAAGAGCTATGACTACTTTGTTCCATGATATGATGCACAAGGAGGTTGAGGTGTATGTGGACGATATGATAGCTAAGTCAAAAACCGAAGATGATCATGTTAAGCACCTGGCTAAGCTATTTGTCCGTTTGAGGGAATACAAACTTCGTCTGAACCCCAACAAGTGTACATTTGGAGTACGATCAGGGAAGTTATTGGGTTTTATTGTCAGCCAAAAAGGGATTGAAGTAGACCCTGACAAAGTAAAAGCTATCCGAGAAATGCCAGCTCCCGCCACTGAGAAACAAGTTAGAGGATTCTTAGGGCGTTTGAACTACATCTCCAGGTTTATATCCAACATGACTGCTACATGTAAACCTATTTTTAAGCTTCTAAGGAAAGAACAAGGGTACGTTTGGACTGAAGATTGTCAAAGGGCTTTCGATAGTATCAAAGAGTATTTGCTCAAACCACCTATCCTGATACCACCGGTTGAAGGGCGCCCTTTGATTATGTATTTGACTGTTCTAGAGGATTTAATGGGTTGCATACTCGGTCAGCGAGATGAAGCCAGAAAACAAGATCATGTCACTTATTACCTGAGCAAGAAATTTACCGATTGTGAAACCAGATACACTGTGCTAGAGAAGACTTGTTGTGCTCTAGCGTGGGCCGCTAAGCGTTTACGCCAGTATATGTTGAACCACACTACCTGGTTGGTTTCGAAGATGGATCCCATCAAGTATATTTTTGAGAAGCCCGCTTTAACTGGGAGAATTTCCAGATGGAAGATGTTATTGTCCGAGTATGATATCGAGTACCATACTCAGAAAGCTATTAGAGGAAGTGTTTTGGCTGATCACCTGGCTCACCAACCTATTTTGGATCATCAACCCTCAAATGATGACTTTCCTGATGAAGATGTCATGTTCTTAAAGATGAAAGATTGTGAAGAACCCGTACACGGTGAAGGACCAGAGCCCGGTTCTCAGTGGGGTTTAATGATGGAGCTGTCAACGCTCATGGAAAAGGGGTAGGTGCTGTTATTGTGACTCCTCAAGGGACCCATGTCCCATTCACCTCCAGATTAGCATTCCAATGTACTAATAACGAAGCTGAGTATGAGGCATGTATCATGGGTCTCGAAGAAGCGATCGATTTGAGAATCAAGAATTTAGATGTATTTGGTGATTCTGCGGTAGTAATCAACCAAATTACTGGAGAATGGATAACTCGACACGATAATTTAGTCCCATACAGGGATTATGCTAGAATATTGTTACCGTTCTTTGATAGGGTTGAGTTTCATCATATCCCTCGCGATGAGAACAGAATGGCAGACGCATTGGCAACTTTGGCCTCGATGATTGTGGTGAACTTTTGGAACGAGTGTCCTCGGATTGAAGTGAAACGTCTCGATAGACCCGCCTACATCTTTGCTGTCGAAGGAATTAAGGATGATAAACCCTGGTACTATGACATCGAAGTGTTTCTTAGAACTCAAGAATATCCCCTGGGAGCTTCCGACAAAGACAAGAAGACTTTGAGAAGGTTGGCTGGAAAGTTCTTTCTGAGTAACAACGTGTTGTACAAACGGAATTTTGACATGGTCTTGCTGAGATGTGTTGACAAGCATGAAGCGGATAGGTTAATGTCGGAAATTAACGAAGGATCCTTTGGCACTCATGCCAACGGACATGCTATGGCTAAGAAGCTATTAAGGGCCGGTTATTATTGGATCACAATGGAATCAGATTGCTACAAGTTTGCTAGAAAGTGCCACAAGTGCCAGATCTACGCAGATAAAATTCACGTGCCTCCGACTTCCCTGAATGTTATCTCCTCCCC